GGGCTAACATGTCCGTACCTCCATCATGTCTCCTTTTCAATTCCTTCTCTTTCCCCTTTTTTGATCATCTGTTTGTATTTTTTCTTTTTTCAACGTTTTACATAATGTGCAAGATATTCTTCCTCCAACATTTGATGCCCCGTGCCCAGCAAGTCCTTTGATAGCGTATGCAGAGCGTGAAAAGTTCTCCGCTGAGGTGAATTGGACGGTACCAACTGCCATTGACAACTCAGGACTCAAACCAGTAATAAACTCTAATTATCATCCACCAAGGATATTTCGCCAAGGAACTTACATAATTACATATTCTGCAGAAGACCAAGCAGGAAACAAAGCCACTTGCAGCTTCACGATAAAAGTAATAGGTAAAGTTTAATTTAGACAATTCGTTTCCCTTCGTGTCGTCAACGTGTTAAATGTGGACTTTACAACTAACTGGGCAGGAATTGTTGTCAGGAGGAACTACATTTCATTTTGTAATCCATCATTTTTATTGCTGTTGTTTTTCAGTCATCAATTGCACATTGCTGGTGGCAGACCCAGGCAGTCCCTTGCGCATGAGTAGTTGTGGTAATCATTATGGAGCGCGTTGTGAATTTTCTTGTGCCAATGGTTATCGTTTGAATGGCTCATCAGATGTTACATGTGTTACCCCAGATTACAAACCTCCTGCCGTCTGGGACAACCCGATACCTACCTGTCAAAGTAGGTGGCCTCTGACAAGATATTTCAGCTATTACGCATCGATTGTGCAGTATAATGTTCCGCAAGGAACATTACCTGGTCTCACATCTAAATATTATTCTGATTGAAATTACTAGTCAGAAGCTGGCTTACCCGAAAAGTTGCTCGCGAAGACAGTGATGTATTAGGAAATACTCGCAACTAATTTAAATTGTAATGTTTTTATATCGACAAGGTATTACATGTCCTTCTCTTCCTCTACCAACAAATGGAGGTAAGAGGGGCTGCGAGGACACAGTGTCCGAACCTTATGACACACTCTGCAGTTTTTACTGTAACGATGGCTACAGTCTGGCTGGATCGTCTGTTAGGCGATGTCTAGAGAATGGGACATGGAGTGGAGAAACGTCTTCATGTCTGAGTAAGAAACAAAATCATTTCTTTACTGTGACATTTTCTGCATTTATTAACAACACAGTCGTTTGCGGTAACGTTTTGTCTCATTTTTCCCTTGCATAGTTATCAGGTGTAGTCCTCTTGTTCCCCCAACCGATGTTTCAATTTCTCCATCGTCTTGCTCATCAATAAGTAACTATGGCCAGACCTGCCGCTTAACTTGCTCTCGACCGGGATACTCTCCAAATGGGACCTCATCGAGAACTTGTGGTAGAGATGGACAATGGACAGGTTTAAACGACACACGTTGCACGGGTAAGTTGCTGAGTCCCTTAGGTAAATCATAATCTATTTTCTTTTAATTTATTAGATAGTTTAGCTTTCATGTACTGCTTAACCGACAAGTTAGGATAAAAATTAAGTGTTTCACTCATTTCATGTAATATCATTGAAAAAAATTCGTCCAAAAGAATGGGCTTTCCATACCTCCAAACGAGCACGTTTTGCTGAGTCACTATGTTTACATATCTGAATACAAAACTTGACTATATTAGGTGTTTTCACTTAAAAATAGCTTATTGCTGCAAATATATTGTATCATCTTTCTACTTTTTTTTATCGAAAAATATGCCCGATTGATGCATATTTAAAAAAACCACCATTGTAAGAGTTTTGGGTAAACTAGAAAAAACATCTGGGTGGCGCACGACATCTCTTATGTTCCTTTCTCCCCCTCCCTTTCTCCTTCTCCCCTCACACTCATCTTGGTACCAGGGTACACCAGTCTGAGCCGATATAATCCCCCATTTTGCGACGTCTCATTCCAAACTGATTATCGTTTTTTTCATATATCTACAACACACACACACATAAATGTTTTAAAACTATTCCATAAGCGCGCGTTGGATAGGAGATGACAGATAGCTAACGAGGCGCGTAGCGCTGAGTTGGCTTTAATCATCTCATATCCAACAAGCCCGAGTGGAATAATTGTTTTATTAAAAACGTCACCAAGATATTTGAAAAATCTTACCAAATCTTAATTTGTTTTTGTCAATTTTAATCCTAAGCTGTCGCGTACGCTTACCTCAATTGTAGATTATGGTATATTGTCTAATATACCATAATGGCTAAGCCATTAAAAGTCTTGAACTCCGTACGTTATCCAATGATCTACATTTTAATCCATATGTTAAAAAAGAACTACCGTTAAAAGGGTTTTGGGTAAATTAGAAAAAACCTTTGCGTGGCGCACGACATCTCTTATGTTCATTCCTCCCTTTCGCCCCTCCCACTCATCTTGGTGCCAGTGTTCACCAGTAATGATGACGAAGGTTGATTATCACAACTGATGAAGGTCTCGGACCGAAACGTTTTTTATTAAACTTTGTAGATTTTTCATTGAGAGTATGTCTTCCTTCGCTCGAAGTTGTCCGTCCTCGTGTGCCACATTACTTCTTATATATTATATTATATATATATATATATATGTATTTAAGAATTATTCGCCGAAGGCGAGGTGAATATCGTCGAGTAATCCCCGAGATGAAGTCGAGGAGATTATTCTACAATATTCACCGAACCTGAGGCGAATAATTGTTTTAGTATAATTTCAGAGCTGAACAACAAAGAAATTTCTAAAATCATAAGATTTTAGTAACATTTATTAACATTTTAGTTTAAAATTTTATATAAATCGCGCGGAGCGGTTTATATAGCGTCATATAAGGAACCGCTCGACCACTCAGATTGCTGGAAAATCTTTGTTCAGCTCTGAAATTATACTAAATATATTTATAAATTAGAGTGGTGCTTACCGTTGATTATAAAAAAGTATATATGTATAT